CGTAGAAGTTGAAATATACGTGTGTGTGTATATATACTAAAATAATAAATAAAGAACACATAACATTAAAATCGATACACAATTAAAAACATTTCTAAAATGTGGTCTCTACATGTTTCAACATTTACCATATCTTCAGGAGTGAACTTGCCACATTTATTTCTTCTTAGCTAGATCATGTGACCTATGTGTAAGTTTACATTTCTGGATAAATCTCAGAGAAGATCCCACTACATTCTTATGTAGATACTCACCAAACCTTCATCTCTATTTGATAGTTCATGATCTTTTTTAAAGTTTAATATTTTTAAGGATTCACAAATAATATTGGTTCCAATACCCCTTTGGTTGAGCCAATATTACTGTTTTTCTCCATAATATCTTATGTTGTGTTTTTTGTACATGTTCTGCTATGGCTGAATGTTCATTACTTTCATTTTTTACTCATCCCTCATGTTTTGCTAAATTATATTTTAAATTAAGTCAGTCTAACATAAACACTTTCACATTCAATTTTATAAATTCCAGATTTTTTTGTTAACTGTATATTATCTTTAGTATTACCTAAAATTTGTTTTATCTTATTTATCGGTTTAAATATAGAGTAAAATATTGGTTGTTTTTTATACACTTTGAATAAACTAGAAGTTAAGCGTGGAATATATGGCAACACTAAACATTCCTTTTTAATTTTATCACAGCTTGGTTTTAAGGTAATACCTTGATCCATTATTACCACATTAGTGATTTCTTAACTGCTCTATCTAGAATAGTTGGGTTAAATCCTATTTTGATTGCTACGTAATTCATTAGAAACAACTCGTTTTTTAAGTCCTCTTGTTTTGTACATATCTTCAAAATTCAATGAGCATAAGTGTAAAATGCAGACATTTTTTGTGTTTCTATACGACATGATTCCAGGTGTGGTGGCATAAGAACAGAAAAATGTTTATGATAAATAGATGTTTCTAAATTATCTTTTTCATTCCTTTTTTACCAATACATCTAAAAAAGGCAAACTATTATTTTTCTTAGTTTCATAGGTAAATTGTATAGAAGGTTCTATGCTATTTAAATAGTTTACAAACTCTGTTAATGCCTTATTACCTTATCTCTACACTAAGAATGTGTCATATATATCCCTTATACAAATATCAGGTTTACATTTTGCATCATTTATGGCTTTTGTTTCAAATGCATCAATATATAAATCACATAACAACAGTGAAAGTGGGGATCCCATTGCCAACCCTTCATTTTATTTATCAAAAACATTGTTAACCTGAAAAAAATGGATTCTTTACATACAACTTTGTTAGCTTAAGTATATCTATAATTTCAACTGCTGAAGTTATATTTTGTAACAACATATTTTCAAACACTTAATTGCATCTTCTATTGGAACTTTTATAAATAATGATTCTACATCAAATGATACTAACAAATCTTTTTTATTCAACTTATGTTTTTGATTTTCGTTACAAATTATAAAGCGTTTTTAACGTGTAGAGTCCACATTTCAGGTGCACAAAGAGAGAGAGCCGAGGGGTGGTTCCTAGCACAAAACACTTCTATGACCCATGAAAACCAGTCACTTAAAATGGAGAACATTTAAAAGTAGCAAGAGGACAAGGAGCAGAAATGGGGCGACCCTATGATGAGAACCCTGTGGACTGAGAAAACTAGGAAACCAAAGTAAGCAGACTGCTGATGAGCAGACTCAACTCGAGTTTCCAAAGTATAAGGAACATACCAAGAATACCTTGGTTCAAAAGAAGGATGCCTACATAGAGGTTCCGACAATAAGCATGGGGGGAGACAAATATCCAAAAGTAAAGCATTTCAACCAGGCAATGCTGAGATACAAGGAATCATTTAATTTGCACATTGCAGAAGAATATATCAAGAACAATGTAGTAAACAGATAGATGTGACCATCCCAATCTACTGTCGAGGTTGTGATGTACAGCCTCTGAGAGAAGGTGAAGCAGGGGCAGATAGTGAAGGAACCACTGTGATGTACAGCCTCCGAGAGAAGGTGAAGCATGGGCAGATAGTAAAGTAACCATTGTGATGTACAGCCTCTGAGAGAAGTGAAGCATGGGCAGATAGTGAAGGAGCTGAGCAAGATGAAGAAGAGGAAGAGACAAAGAAAACGAAGCAAGAGAGCTCCACACTGCAAGAAGAGATTCAAGAGACTGAAGCTCAAGGAAACTGGGAGAATCTCAACTATATAGTATAGAATAAGTTTCTCAAGGATGAAGCAATTGTAGTTCAGTATGAAGCTAAAACAAAAAGGTATCAGCATGAACACAAATATCATGAGAGGGGAGAAAAATAACATAGTCTGAAGAAGAAGGCTCAAGCAGAAAGATAGCTTGTGACTCAGCAAAAGCAACTATAAAAAGAGAGAGAAAGAATGCACATAACTATGTAGTCAAAGTAACAAATGGAAAAAGGTGGGGTACCTATTCCTTCCCAGGAAAAGATGAACCAGAAGCAAAAGCATGTGATGGTGTGAAAACACATCTGAAGACAAGCAGTGCTGAAGAAAGAATGAGCCTTTGTTGAAACACTACTGCTCATGGGGTTTACTGCATATGGAGCATGTATCACACTCATCCTGGTGTAGGGCTATAATCTGATTATAATTACATCATAGACTGGCACAGTCCATGTTAATTTAGAGATGGGAGTTTTGTTCAAGGCTTGTAGCAAAAATCTTCTCAGCAGTGGTGTGAAGTAATAGTTCTTTGTTCTGTGCAGAAGTTAATATAATTTCTGAATATTACTTTATTAGAGTGATTAGTGAATGTATTATTGGGCAAACTATCTGTTAAATGATTAAGTTTATTCAAATGTTATCCTCAAATTTCAATTAATAGTTCAGTTTTTCTTGTTATTAAAGTTAGTTAGATGTATGCAATCAATACAGTTCACTTGCTTTTTACCAGTGAAAAAGGCTTCTTAAAAATTTTTCAAAGTGGCTCAGTG